TCAAACGGGCTAAAAAATTTTTCATAACCCCACTTTTGATCGTAGAATCCAAAAATATGAAAAAACATGTATGTTAATTTCGACCATTCCACTACAATTCTCGATGGGCTCGTGAAGCCTCTCTTAAGAAGCTGTAACCTAAACACTGAAAACTAGTTTTGCAAAAATTAAATTCCAAAAAACTAAAAATTAGTGTCCAATGTTTAGGCTACAGCTTCTTAACTATATATGTTGTAAGGCTGAAAAGCATCTTAAAATGTTAACCATACTTTTCTCTTCAACTTAAGACGTCGCACGACACTCTACGGCAGTCAGTTTAAGAACTGTAGATAAAAACAAAATGATGAAAAACCGTTACGGAATTCTGTCACGGTAGCAGAGTTAGCTGGCCACACCGCACGTATTAAAACATCGTCTAGACATACTTTTCCTTTTTCTTGTCCTTTCTCTCTTCTCATTCTTTTTGTTGTTATTTTCCTTGATTTTTTTTTTCCTTCTTTCTACACATTGTACTGATTGTTCTACCAAGCACTTTTCTTATGTACAGCAATATAATGGTTCGCCGATTTTGTGTGCATCTGAAGCAGAAATTGTCTAATACTTATTTCTATATTTTTATTTACTTTCCCTCTGTTCTTTTTTCGAAGTGATGAATAAAGTTTAAATCCATCATTCGATTGAACTTAAGTTGATTATAAATTTTGTGTTATTTTTGAGAGAAGTTACTTAGAAACAATTTAAGGCAAAACTAATTAAGCATTAACGAAATTAAAAAGTAAATAGACGGTTAGAGGAGATGCAGGCAATATTAAGGTCACAATGATAATATGAGACTGTAAATTTTAAAGTTCTGTATTATATCATAAATAAAGTGGTCTGTGATCGATTATCAACTGATTTTGGCTAAAAAGTGTGGGAATCATGGATTCACTAACTTAGACTATTGTCTCCATCTATATTAGGCATTTTTAAAATATATCTATATCGAATTGTAGGTTTTAAAATGTTGTATTTGATAACCGATCATAGTGCCCCTATAACGAACGCTATAGTTGTTGAAAACAGACCTTTGCAACGAGAACTTTTTGAATTCGCAAAAAGATATCCAATTATTACTTGTGATTTATATTGCCGGGTACAAAAGTAAACATTTTTCTTACTAAAGCTACTTACTTTTTACTAATCTGCTGTATTTTTCCTTTAAAATAGACATTGTTCGTACCGACTTCCGATCATAACACACCGAAATCATAACTAATAAGAATCGAACTTGATAATAACTGAAAATCGAATTTTTTATCATGAGAAAAATCGCAAATTTTGCTAAGAAGATTAGTTTCTTTTTAATAATATATCCGTCAAATTAGATGGCATAACGAATAGAAATATTTTAATAAAATAAAGCAGGAAAAAATCAAATAGTTCTTCTATTTAATTGTACCGTTAAGTGTTATCATCTAATCCTCACGATGTTTAGTCTATACCGTTCATCGCTTCTTGTATTGTTTTCATACAGTTATCCATAGATATGGACTTCTTCATTAAAACATCGTTTTCAACTTTCATTGATTCATTTTCTTGTTTCAGCAAACCATATTGTTCTTGAAGAGCATCTCTGTCATTATCACCCAGAACAATCAATTTTTGTTGTTCATCAATACTTCGGGCTTGTTCCGCTATTATTGCTTCATTTTCACCAATGGTTTCTTCGTATTTGACTATTGTGTCTTGGTGTTCAACGATAGTTGCTTCATGTTGACCGATGATTTTTTCGTGCTCAGATATTATGTCTCGAAGTTCATCGATCATATGTTGATATTGATCGATAGTTTGATATTGTTGAGCGATGGTTGATTGATGTTCAACAACGGTTGCTTTATGCATATCTATAGTTGATTGCTGTTGATCCATAGTTGCCTGATATTCAGTAATTATTTTCCTTTGTTCAGTTATTATCTCTTCATGTTCAATCATCATTTTTTTCAGATCATCAATTTCACGTTGATACCGTTGTATTGTTCTCTGATAATCACTAATAGCTTGTGTTTGTAAACCATAATTTCCACTATTAATTAAATTAGTTAACAGTTTTTCAGCTGTTGCAATTTCAAGAATTTATTATCATTGGTATTCAAAACATCTTTTTTTATTTGTTCACGATATAGATTATGATATGCAATACGTAATCGTACCACATTTATTTGTTCAATATCAAGTTTAGCTCGTTTTAATACATTATCTAATGCTGTTTGAAATGTATAATAGCCGGTCATATCGGATAGGTAGATGTCAACGATAAAAGAACTATATTATTGAATAGTGAAAAAAAAAAGAAAAATTCTATTTGTGTTCTATATTTATTTCTCTAAGGGTATTCGTGTCAAATCGATCATATGAGGTATTTCATTTAATCAAAATAAGTTTTGTTTGATTAAAGAGACGAGAGCACCATTTCATATACAAAGTTACTTAATGAAAAAGGCATGCTCTGGCTAATAATGAATTGTAAAACTATCATATTCTTTTTTTATACTTTGAAATATGTGAGTAAAACAGTTGATAATGAAGAAAAGATGAAAAAGTAACGCTGTTTCATTCTCTTGAAACTTTCAGACTTATTCATATTTAATTTGACCTTCTCACATCGAAGGTTCCTTCTCCATTCCGTGCCGAACGATTGCACTTGAAATTCTCTGGTTGAAATTGTTTTTTTCGTTATTTTTTGAATCAGGTAGTAATTGAGATTGAAGCTTTGTAGTATTTCCTCCATATTTCTTTATTGTACGGTATACAAAAATATGTTCAATGTATATTTTTTTGTAGAAAATTTCAAGACGAATCGTTTGACAGGGAAAAGAGAATGAGCTTTAACATCCAAAAGAGAACGAAGTTCTAAACAACATACAAAATTATCGAGTCTGTCTGGACCACCCGTTATTTCACTTCTAGAGCCATTTGAACATTGCACTTTGTTTGTGCTCGTTTGAATGAGAGATTGTAGAACAGAATTTTCGAACTTGTGGGAAAAAAATTAAGTATCGGTTTTGAAAAAATCTGACTCATTACTGAGAAATTTAATTATCAACATCAGTGAGTCAAAAAGCAAGAATGTTTTACCCTTAATTCACTTGTTCAACATCAAAACAAGGTGAATATTTGTAATCAGTACAAAAGTTGAGTCAAACGACATAGTTTTATCGAAAAATATGTTCCACATAATTTCGCTTCAAAGAAAGATTTTGTGCTTTTTCCCAGAATTTACCGTTTCCCTTATATGTATCCATTTCAAGGGTTCTACTCAGGTGCAAAATTTTTTAGTCGAAATCGATGCTAGCCTATTTGGAAGACAGAAGTGATGATAAAATATTAGAATTCGCTTATTTTTAAAAATTTGAATATTTTCAACGTAAAACTGTTTTTAAAAAGTTTAAAATTGACATTTTCCTGTATAACTCGACAAGCTCTATCCAACCATGTCAAAAAGAAACGAAAAAGAAATTCTGCTCGACTTTTGAATTGTCAGCACCTTATAGACTTCTGCCATTCTGTCGCGGTACAACGGATTTATTTTAAACGACATTTCGATATATTATCGGTTTCGTCTGATGTATGTAAAAACCTAAGAAATGTATTACGCAAAGAACCACCGACACTATCGCTTCTAACAGGTTCGATTCGGCTACATAGAGATAGCTACGCACAGATATATCGTTCAGTTATTAGTTTTATCGAAACTATCAAACGTTTTGAAACAACAGACCACTAACCCGTATTATAACACGACTTGCGCCGCGCGTAATTCAAAAATCAAGTACTATTTTATTTTTAGCTTCTTTATATATGATTCGATAGAGAATTTGAAGCTGATCACCAATATCGCCTTTTCAGCCTTCCCAGTGTACGTTTGCGCATCGAAAAATTGAAAATACGAGAAGGGTCTTAAAAGACGAAAAATTTTCCTGTTTCGTTATCATTTTGACATTTTCATAGAGCACAAAATTGTCGATCGAATGAGTATAGAGCTAACTCTATGAATGAGAATGAATTGTCGCAAAAGCAAAAAACGAAGGTGGTCATTCTATTCTGCACCACCATTTACAATTGGAAATAGAAGGCTTATGAATGGCGCAAC